TTGTTTTTCCGAAACCTTTGTAGAGACAGTCTGTGAACAAAAATACTTCGTGACCACTGCCCGAGTGCTGTTCGGGAAAAGCTGGGTCGCAGGCTTCGTCGGACGGGGTCTGACTGTGCATCTCGTCCCCGGCTGCCTCGGCTGTGAAAGTCACTTTAAAAACCACTCAGGTTTTATCCAGCGTATCTGTTCCTAGTTTTTTAAGAGGTTTTAAGTTTCTTGTTACTGTACTATAAGTGAGGGTAGAATTTCATCTTTGTTTTGCATTTGTTGAGGTAATCATAGCATTTTTCATCTTTATTCCATTAATGAGATTGACATTGAAGTTTGAACATTGAATGCGTCGTGCATTCCTGGATTAAACCCGACTTAGTTGTGATAGGATAGATATTACGGGCTTGATTTACCAGTGCATTATGATCTTTTGCATTGTGTACGCAGGAGAGATTGGCGGTAGTTATATGGTCTGTGGAAGGTTTTAGTTTCAAGAATATGCTGGCCTCATAAAACAGTTTGGAAGGTATTCTCTCACGTGATGCTGGTACCATTTCTACCTTAGATATGTGAAAGTTTGGAAGAATTCAATGGCAAGTTTATCTCGTCCTGGAGTTGTCTTCTGGATACTGGCTTGGTCAGAGGTGTGCGTTAACATCCAGTGTTTCTGTGGGGGTGGCTGTTGCGTCCCTGTCCGACAGACCCGGCTGGTTGTGTAGGTTGTTCGGATTGTCACCTACTTCACCTGTCAGTTACGTAAAGGGGTATGGAAGTGACCTGCCTTGATGGGCTGTTGGCCACTTTTTGCACACAGTGGTGTCAGTTTTTGCCTGTTGTGCACTTTGAGGCTAGATTAAGTGGGTGCAGTGTTGGGGTGCTGTGTTTCCCTGATGAATCGTTCCTTTTGGGTGATGACTGTCACCTTCCAGTGAGGGTGTCTGCCTGCGAGCTCCCCCCTTCTCCCTTATTAATATAAAAATGCAGCTTTATTTTGGTTATTTGTCTGGCTTATCTGTTTTCTTTTATTTTCATTCTTTGTGTATTTGTGTTTGGATTTTTTTTGAAAAGCATATAACTGGATTTTTCTCCCTCAGTGTGAAATCTATGTATTCTCACTGTAGTGTGCAGGCCATTTATATTTATTGTAAATAGAGATTTATTTGGATTTACTCCTACCATTTTAATCTTTTTTTTTTAACTTTTAAAATATTTATTTTTTTAATGTGTTTCCACTAGCTTTAGGATTAATTTAGTATATTTTTCTGAATCATTTTTCCCCTCTACTTGTTTGGATGACATACACTCTATTTCTCTTCCTTTGGAGGTTAGCCAGTTGAAACTTCCGTGTTAGTTATCTTCTTCTCCCAAGGGTCCTCTTTTGTGATCCTGGTCTCTGTTTCTTTTAATTGGGAGGTTAAGCTTGAATCAGACACTGCCTTCTAGATCAGAGCTGTTGTAAGGTATGGGGAAGGGGGAGAATTTTAGTAGCTGTCTGGCCATTGGGTTCCTCTGTATTACTCTTTACACCCCCTCCTGGACCACACATTATTGACTTCCGTTACCACATACTAATGACTTTACAAGAACAGCACAGTGCTAGAAACCCAAGTATATCTAATCCCACAGACGTTCTGTAACACTTCTGTCACAGGTTCACAACGGGGGCTCTCTGCCTCCTCCTCCTCCCCCTCCCCTCACTCCCTCTTCACCCCGGTATTTTCTTCTTCCCGTTCTCCCTCTCCTCCCCTCCCTCTTTTGTATGTGTGCATGTTTGAAACCTGCCAAGGCCAGTTCCCCACCCAAATGGTCTGCTCTCTGTGGCCATGCAGTTCCAAAAGCTTGGGGTCATGTATGCCTTTTTTCTTGGCCTCCATTACGCTCACCTCCTTGAGAATTCCTAGGAAACTTGGAGAAGTGCTTTCAGTGTTCCACCGTTGGAATGAACTGTGCCCCAGGAGTGAACGGAGGTTCAGGACCACGGACAGATGTGTATGTGCCACCTGTCTGTCTCACATCCGCACGGTTTCGCAGGCTAAGACATTATTCTGAAGTCTCCACTGTTCATCATTTTTTTCATTTTAGGTTCAACTCCTCCCCATTTTTATCAATTATCTTATAACCACTTCTTGACTTTTTTGAAGTTTTCATCTCATCATCTTCTAAAGTACTTATCTTAGCAGTAGCTTTGAGTTTAATAAATCGTTTTGTCTCCATAAAGAAACTAAGAATTAGAAAGGTTGGTACATATACACCATGGAATTTTATGCAGCAGAGAGAAAGAAGGAGCTACTACCTTTTGCAACAACATGGATGGAACTGGAAAGCATTATGCTGAGTGAAATAGGCCAGGCATTGAAGGACAAATACCATATGATCTCACCTTTGACAGGAAGCTAAAGAATAAAACAAACAAGCAAACAGAATAAAAACAAAGACGCTGAAATAGAGAACAAGTGGGCAGTGACCAGAGGGGAGAGGGAAGGGAACTTAAGGGGAAAAAGGGGGAGGGATTTTGAGGAACAAGTATGAAAGACACAGAGATGAGGACTGGGGGGGGGGGATGGGAGGGAGGGGGGAGACCGGGCGGGGGGGGGGGGAGAGAAAAAAAATGTACTTAAAAAAAAATACCTATAATGTAGTTCACATACAATTTAAAAAAAAAAAAAAACTTCTCCTACCGTACACAGCAATTCAAGTGTAATGAGGTTTGGAAGTCAGGTTTTTCTGACTGTGAAGACAGAACTCTTTAATTTCTTGATATACTTGATTTAAGGCTTTTTGTGTTTTATTTTTAAAAAATATTTTATTTATTTTTAGAGAAGAAAGGGAGGGAGAGAGGGAAACATCAGTGTGTGGTTGCCTCTTGTGCTCCCCCTACTGGGGACCTGGCCTGCAACCCAGACATGTACCCTGACTGGGAATCGAACCAGTGACCCTTTGGTTAGCAGGCTGGCCCTCAGTCCACTGAGCCACACCAGTTAGGGCTTTAAATGTGTTTCAAATCAGGGTATATTTAAAAATTATCTACACACTTGCCCCATTTCTGTTATGGTGTTCTTCTTTCTTACTACATTGCAAGAGCTCTTTGAATTTTAGGGATAGCAACCTTTTGGCTATTATACTTTATAAATATTTTCCCCGTTTGTAATTTATCTTTATTTTAAACTTTAATACAGTAGTTAAAAAAATAAAACTTTCACAATTTTGTTAAATCCTCCTGTCTTTTCCTTTTGGAGTTTTGCTCAAAAGCAAAACTGACTAGACAAGTTCTTCCTCATCCCTTGAACATAAAAATATTCTATTCTGTTACTCTATGGTGTACTTAGATTGTTTTTTAGATAATCTACCTATATTTGAACTGATACTTTTAAAGCACATGTTAGTGGCTTGTAAGGCAGATCCTTCATATTTCTTTTTAAAGGTTTTCTTGGCTCTTCTACATTTATTCTTACAGATGACTTTAGAATCATTTTGTTAATTTTTTTCCCAAAAATCTAATGGAGCAGAAGTACTTTTTGAAAAAAAAAAGTATAAGTGGCTAGACTTTTTTCACTTTTATCATATTTTAAGAATATAGAATAGTTCATAAATACCATGTTATAATGGTATTCTCACCAGCTGCTGAGTGGAAATAAATTTATATAGTATCTGTGTTTTTTGTCTTTCTTTGAGTTTTATTTCCCATAGAACTTACGTTGAAATTCCTGTGAATACATTATCAGTAGTGGTGATAACAAGATACCTGAAAGGAGGTATGTGATGAGATCAACTCCGTTTCCCATTTCTAGCACAGTAGCTGGTACTGAACAGGTACTTAATAAAGAATTAAATGTAGAGTTAAATGATTAATAAAGACATTATCTTGGTGAATTTATGAGTCTCAACATTATAGGATTGATCAAATTGGGGCTGTTAATATATTCATTAATATCATATAAGAGACAAGACAGATGAACTAGAGTGCTAGTTCAGCAATTTATGATAAAATATCTATCAAGCATCGGAGTCATTTGTGTCAGCCCCACTGGTGCTTTTTCCCCTGCAGGAGAAGTTTTATCAGAAGCTTGGAACTGAAGAATACAGTTGGGGTGAGGGTAGTTCCTCTGCTTGGTGTAAGTTCTGGTCCACGATAGGAAGGGCGTGGCAGGTGGACGGATACTCCGCTCACTGGTCAGCGCCCCCTCCGTGTGCCTGAGAGACTGCCACTACCCGGGCTTCTCACTCACAGATACTCTCCGTGTCCTCCTTCCGGATACTCTTCCTGTAGCTGTACAGTGATTTTAGCATCAGATCTTGTCCTGAATGGGAGCGGTTATTTTAAAATTTACAGGTTGTTTATGGACACGTTAATTTAAACCATTCAAATGACATAGAAGTATACTTAACATTTTTTGAGCCTTTGCATATGCTGGATGCCAACTATGTTCTTATATAATTGTGAGACCACCCGTTGAGGGACTGGGACAGACACGTGTGCACCAGAGTTCGTAGCAGCACTGTTAACAGGAGCCGAGAGGAGAAACCACCCCAGTGATCATTAGTTGGTGAGTGGGTGAAAAGACTGCGATAGATACAGTGACTTCGAGGTCATACAGCTAATACGTGACAAACCTGAGCCCTGAACCCAGGTTTTTCTGCCCTCAGACTACACATTTTCAACCAAATATTTCTTTGCTTTCAGTAATAAAAGTAGAAGTCCCTCCTTTTCAGATCCCTGATTTCATTCTTGTTCACAGAAGTTGGCCTCTGTCCTTGTAGGCCTTTTTCCTGTGCATTCACTGAAGTATTTGTATCCATGTACAATGTGTACCACTTTTCCTCCTCTTTTTTTTTTTCACATAAACGCAATGATTTTCTTCTCTCTCTTTCTCTCTCTCTTCCTTCCCTCCCTTTCTTCCTTCTCTCCCTCCCTCCCTCCCTCCCTCCCTCCATTCCTCCCTCCATTCCTCCCTCCATTCCTCTCTCCCTCCCTCCATTCCTCCCTCCCTCCCTCCATTCCTCCCTCCCTCCCTCCCTCCATTCTCAGAAGTACTACAATACTGGGTCAGTGCATGCAGTAGATGGACCAAGCTATTCCATTTCCCAGCTCCCAAAATTCATAGAATATAATGTCCTTGGATAGAGGATGTATCAGATATTAAACTGATAAGAACAGACATTACATTTGATCTCAGCCAGAAGGCTGAAAAGTGATCAGGTGACATTAATTAATCCACAATGTTGTAGAGCCACCATCATTTCAAAAAGTTTTTTTTTATCACTCCAAAAAGATGCTCTGTACCATTAAACAAGAACTCTTTATTGCCCCTCTCCCCCTTTTTTCCAGCCCCAGGTACCCTGTCATCTAGTTTGTATTTGTGTGAATTTGAGTATTATGTAGGGGTGGGCAAACATAGCTTTACAGTTGTGAGTATGCACGGAGTTAATACAGAGTTAGTAAAGTTATTGTAATAATTATGACCTGCGTGCCTTTTTCCAGATGAACAACTATAAACCTACTTTTGTTTACCCCTGCATTTCATATAAACAGAATTATACATGGTTTATTTATGCCTGGCTTGTGTCATTTAGCATAATTTCTTCAAAATTCTTCCATTAGGAACATGCATCAAACTTTCTTTTTAAGGCTGAATCTTACGTCATTACATGTATATACTATATGAGGTTTATTGATGATGGACAGTTGGGTTATTTCCACCCTTTGGCTATTGTGTATGATGCTGTTGTGATTACTAGTGTACAAGGATCTGTTTGAATTTCTCTTTTTCAGTTCCTCTGGGTCTATGTCTAGGAATGAGATTGCTGGGTCATAAGGTGAATCTATATTTAGCTTTTGGAGGAACTGCCAAACTGTCTTCCAAAGCAGACGTACCACTTTACATTCCCACCAGCGATGTGCGATGCTTCCAGTTTCTCTACGTCCTTGTTCACATTTCTGTTTTCTGTTTGATTCATTGATTGGTAAATATCATGAGGATAGAAAGTGACGTCTTACTGTGGTTTTGGTTTGCATTTCTCTAATTTTTGGTGATGTTTAGCATCTTTTCATGTGCTTATTAGCCTTTTTAAAAATCTTTGGAGAAATGGTCGCCCAAATCTGTGAAAGCTCATTTCGGGGTGTCTGTTTTGTTCTGTTAGTCTGTGTGTGCATGCTTACGCCAGTGCCATGCTGTTTGGAATTACTATAGCTTTGTAGCATCTTTTAAATAAGAGAGTGTGGGGCCTTCAACTGTGTTTCTTTTTTTTTTTTTTCCTTTCCTCAAAATTGTTTTGGCTCTTCAGGGTCCATTGGGATTCCGTGTGAATTTTAGCATGGGGTTTCCTATTTATGTAGAAGATACCGCTGGGGTTTTTGCAGGTATTGCAGTGCGTGTATGGAGCAGATAGGGGTTGTGTTGAGCCTCTGCAGACACACTGCCGTCTTGACGGTGCAGTCTTCAATTACAGATACGGGGCGTCTTTCTATTTACTTAGGTCCTTCATCTTTTAGCAGTATTTGTAGTTTTCAGTGAATAATTTTTTTATCTCTTTAGTTAAATTTACTTCTGCTTTATTCTTCTGATGTTATTTCAAATGGATTAAAAAAAATTCCTTCCAGGTAGTTCATCTCAAGTGTACGAAATTACAACAGTGTTTTTTGGAAAGCAGATTTATTGAGATACAATGTGCACACCATGTAATTCAGCCATTTAATGCACAGTTTAATGTTTTTAGTGTATTCATGAGTTTTGCCACCATCACTCCAACTTAATTTTAGAGCAGTTTTATTACTGCCCCCCGGGAAACCCCATGCCCATTAGCAGTCGCTGCCCTTCACCCTTCGCCTCACCTCTAGGTGACAGCTGCATCTCAGTAGCTTTGCCCGTTTCGTATAAATTGGTGGAATCATGTAGGAAAGCAAAAAAAAAAAGCAACTGATTTTTGTTTAATTTTATATCCTGCAACTTTGCTGAATTCATTAACTAGCTCTGACAATATTTTTTTGTATATTCCTTAGAGTTTTCTGTATGTCAGATCATGTCATCTGCAAACAGATCATTTGCCTTCTTTCTTTCCAATTTGGATGCCTTTTGTTTTTTTCTTACCTCCTTGCTGTGGCTAGAACTTCGGTGCTATTTGGAATAGAAATGGTGAAAGTGGGCATCATTGTCTCGCTGCTGATCTGAGGGTCAGAGTTCTCCATCTTTCCCCACTGAATATGCTGGTAGCTGTGGGGTTTTCATGTGTGGCCGTCATTCTGTTTAGGAATACTAGTTCATTGGTTTTTTAATCGTTAAAGTATGTTAGAAAGGTGGGTGTTTAATTTTGTCAGGTGCTTTTTCGGCACCAGTTGAGACGATCTTGCTCCTTCATTCTGTTGTAGCATGTTGTCGCTCACACTTGTGCTTCAGGCTTTTTGGTGGGTTTTGGCAGCTTGCTCTGTCTGCTCTCTCTTCCTCTGCCTAACTTCAATTTGTGAGGTCAGTGCTTGATTTAATGCCTTGGCTTTAAGATTTTAAACATTATTAGGTGGTATGAACTAGAGCATCCTTAAAACAGACTTCAGCTCATCAGTGATCAGATAGATTATTTCTGAGAATGTAAGTGATCTTCTCTTAGTTAAAATCTTAGTACAGTTGATAAACAGACGAGAGGAAGTTAAGGAACTTTTTTAAAAAAAAAAAAAGATTTTGCTTTCAGATAGAGGGGAAGGAAAGGAGAGAGGGGGAGAAACTCATTGTGAGAGAGGAACATAGGTTGGTTGCCCCCTGTCCATGTCGACCACTGACTGCACCCACAATGCAGTCAAGTGCCCTGACCAGGATCCGACAGGAGACCCTTCCCTTTGCAGGACGATGCCCAGCCAACTGAGCCACACCCGTCAGGGCTCAAGGAACGTTTTTTCACATGTTTCCTGTAAGTACTGTAGTCTCCCTCATCCATAGTATCATTTTCTGTGGTTTTGCTTTCTAGAATTTCAATTACCTGTGGTCAACTGTAGCCTGAAAATATTAAGTGGAAAGTTCCAGGAGTAAACAGTTTGTAAGTGTTGAGTTGTGCACTGTTCCGATAGTGTGATGAAATCTTGCCCCATCCACCTGGGATGCGAATCATTTCTTTGTCCAGTGCATTCATGCTCTGTGCACAATGTATGCCACTCGTCTCCGAGGCACCGAGCAGCTGTCTCGGTTCTCGGACTGACTGCAGAGGTTACAGGGCTTGTGTTCAGATCACCCTTACTTTGTTTACCAGCGGCTCCACAGAGCCAGAGTCCTGGTGGTGGCAATTCAGATGTGCCACAGAGAAGCCGTCAAGGGCTTCCTTAAAGGGGAAAGAAAGCTCACAACCTAATAAGGCATTTTATCATCTCACATGAGCACAAGAAGGGGGAGTACAGTGCAATAATATACGGGCTCTGGCACAAATAATGCCCCTTTTTATTAAAAAATCTTTAATTACAAAATCATAAACATGTGATTCTGTAACAATGATATCACACTCAAACACACCATATGACAGTTTAGGTGAAACGTGCAGATTGCTGTCCCTCTCGTGTGAGACATTACCGCACGCTACCAACCACTCAGTGGCGTTACTTCTGCTGGACCTGTATTTTGAGAGACCACATTTGTATAACTGTTGTTACAGTACATCGTTACAGTTGTTGTGCTTCATCATTAGTTATTCCCCTTTCACTGTGCTGATGTATAAATTAAACTTCGTCACAGGCATGCACAGTATGTAGAGGGAAAACAGTGTATAGAGGGTTCGGTGCCTCCATCCACGGCTCCAGTGTGTGCGAAGGCCTTCGAGCCTCTGGGCGAGGGGACGGGTGCCGCGCATCAGCACCTGGTTTCTCCGAGTGACCGCGTCCTCCACGGTGTCTTTGTAGGACTCTTGTCAGCGTAGCCCATTTAGTCCTGATGCAGTGAGACATAACATACATTTAATAGAAATTCCCCCACTTGTCCCAGTAATGTCCTTTACAGCACTGTTGATTTTCTCTGCTTGGTTACAAGGTCCAGTCTGTCATTACACATTGTATTTCGTTGTCATGTCTCTTTAGTCTCTTAATCTGGGGCAGTTTTTCAGACTTTCTTTGTCTTTTAATGTCCTTGTCATGTCTTGAAACTTGTCACTCCACAGGTCAGTCAGTTGTTTTGTAGTTATTCCTCAGTTTGAGCTTGTCTGGTTATTTCTTTGAGGTTAGATTCAGCCTTTCTGTTTTTGGCAGGCATGTGGTCACAAAGTGATATTCTGTTGATTCTCAGCGCCTCGTGCCAGGAGGCGCACAGTGTCATTTTGTTCAATGTGGTGATGTTGCGTTGATCACGTTAGTTGTCACTCCCAGTAACCTAGTTTCCTTTTTATGGAAACTGGTAAACAGAAAGCAGTACCTGGCTCACACTGCTGCTGAGATACTTGTGTGCGTGCTTCAGGGCTTCGGTGTGTTGTGTGTGTGTGGCCACGAGTTTATGGCGTTCAAACGTTCAAACTTCACACCAGAGGACTCCTTCCTCTATTTGTATCTTTTCATACTGGGAGTCTAGGCTCCCAGCAACAGCTGTATAGTATCCATTTCTTTAACTACAGTGCACTCAAAATGCAAGATAGTTTCAGGATTGCTACTTAATATTCCAAACAGCAAATCTAAGGGAATTCAGGTTTCTTAGTATCCTTTTTGTTGTTAGACCTGAAAGCATATATTCAAAGTACTTCCTTCAGAAGTTATTTAGATTAGGGTTTTTTTTTTTTAATATAGCTCCGTGGTTGTGTTATTCATTTGAAAGTCCAAATTATACTGGAAAAAGTATACTAAGTGTCACCATTATTTGTTATCTCCCTGAAAACATATATGTAAAAATATGTTCAGACATATTTTTAAATTGTAGTGTACTTTATATATTATTTTGCACTTCTTAATATGTCTCAGGAATCATTCCATATTAGTCAGTTTATACAGATCTTTCTTACTCTTTTCTCTCTTTTTAAAAGCAATAGCTACATAGTATTATTCCATTATGTGTTTTGTGTCATAATTGATTCAGATATATTTCTCCATGTTTGGGCATTTAGGTTGTTTTTTTAAAAATAATTTGCTGTTGTAAGTAATAATGTGTGTATTTTATATTGTTGGGAGTGTGTCTTCAAGGTAAATTCCTAAGAGTGAAACAGCTGAATCAGAGTGAAAACGCTCTTGTGGTCTCATTAGACGTGGCCTCATTAGACGTGGCCTCGCTCCCGTCCGGAGAGCTGTTACCGCTTTGCAGCGGAACTGGCCGGGGAGGGTCCCCCCAGCCTCTGCAGGGAAGTGCGATGTAAAGCAGTTGAATTTTGTAGTTATTATAGGTGAGAAGTGGTATTGCAGAGCAATTTTAATTTATTTTTTTACATTGTATTTTATTGATCATGCCATTACAGTTGCCCTAACTTTTACCCCTTGCCCTTGTCACCCAGTACCCCCCACTCCCTCAGGCAGTCCCTACACTGTTGTTCATGTCCGTACAGTTCTTTGGCTACTCTGTTTCCTGTGCCGTACTTTACATCCCCGTGACTCTTCTGTAACATTTGTACTTGTTAACTGCCTCACCTCCTCACTCTTAATTTATTATTAGTATGGTTTCAGTGCTGAAGTCTTCAAAGGTTCTTCTGTTTTCTACAGAAACAAAATCTAAGGCTATGGTATAAAAAGAAGAATTTTATGTGGACTGTTTTACTCATTTGCTGCATTACTAACAAAAATTATTCTCAGTGAATTAGATATCTTAGTAAAATGACCTTGAGTTTGGGAAATTGAAATATTTTTCGAGTAAATTAACTTACTCTTTTAAACTGTTGGCCTACATTTAAGTTTTTTATGTCATTATTTTACAACTTACTGGAAATACATGAGTCCTCATTGATTTTTCTCTGGATCTTGCCCACAAAAATACCTTAAATTTTCACATTAATTGATAAAAATATTTGTCACAAGCTCACCTGATTTTTAACCTCATGGCTGGGGAAACAGAATCAAGAGAGAGCAAGACAGACAGACATGGAAAGCTAGATCTAGAGATGTTATTTAGCTTACTTAGACCAGACAGGACAGAACTCACAGATTCAGCCTTGGGGTTCATCACTGACACCCCTTCACTAAGGGGGAAGATAGAAGCTGTATTTTGTCAGAACAAGGTAACATTTGCAAGGCACCTATCGTATTTTCCGGACTATAAGATGTATTTCTCCACCCCCAAATTTGGGAAGAATAATGGTTGTTAATACTGCTGTTGAGTTCTGTTTACATTTACATTGATGGAATATTATGTTATTTTTTTATTAAATATATTACCACATTTTTTGCTTCAAAATTTTTTTTCTTGTTTTCCTCCTCTAAAACTTCAGTGTGTCTTATGGTCCAAAAAGTATGGTATTTGGTTTGGAGATGAAGTATTTATTGCCTTTAAAAAAATTGTACGGTTGCTTACCTCTACCTTTTCTTTAAATGTTCCTACATTATTATGGCTTCCACCTTCCTCTTATGGTTTTTTTCCCTAAAATCCAAGTATGATCAATTTTGCCCTAGTAAAAGAAATAGGGTGACTTAGTAATTATAAAAACATACGGTAGATGAATTCACTTTCACAGAAAGGAATTATACATTAGGGGTATAAAATTGATTTTTAAATATTTATTGTAACAGACCTATTTGACACTCTTTTTATTTTCCCAAGGTTGCCTCCTGAAGTTGGTATTTGCTTAGAGCAGTTCAAGAGAATGGTTGGAAATATTTTAAATATATTTCTGAAGAAGCAGGAGCAGTTGACTACTTGTGTTGGCAATTAGGTCTCCAAAATTAATGTTTGTTGTTTAACAGTAGAGTGGGACAGAAGTGTATTATCACAGAAGGATGTAAAGGACTTCAAGTAAATCTTTCTGTTTTAGCTTAGAAAAAAAGTGTGTGAGATTTTCTTAGTTTTTTTCTTTTTTGAGATTCCACAACTTTCTTGAATCTGTAAGTTTGTCTGTTACCAATTTGGATACTTTTCAGTCTCTATTTCTTGAAGTATGTTCTGCCCCATGGCCCCATTCTCTCTGTCCTCCCCTTTGGGAGTCTAACTGTCCTTCGATGTTGTCTCACAGACGCCTGAGACAGCCCATGCTTGAGGCCTTTCTTCTTTGATTGTTTATTTGTATGGATATATTTTCAGGTTCATAGGATCTTACCTCATCATTTTTTTCTTTTTTTTTTTCATTTTCATTTTGCTCTGAAGCACATCCAATTCTACAATTCCATTTTGTTCTTTAAAAAATACATAGGTAGATGATTGACTCACTTCCTTTGCTGAGATTCCTCTTTATTCATTCATTGGAAACCTTGAGCATATCTGTAATAGTCTAAGGTCTTTGCCTGCTCATTTCCGATAATTTCAGTATCCCAGTAATCTTTGGGCGGATAATGAGCAACTCATCCTAGGAATCAAACACGTTTTGTGGTTGTCTTGAAGATAAGGGAGGCAAAGATCGAGTTAAGTTGATAGAGGCACTTAATGAGATGGCTTCAGTTACAGCCTTTGGCCTGTTTTAGATTCTTTCTCAGGTGGACAGCTCTGGGTTGATGGAGATGTCAGATTAGATCAGTTGCAATCAGAAGGTGAGAGGCCACCCACAGGTATGTCCTGTTACAGCAGGCAGACGAGTAGAACAGTGAGAAACTCTTGAACAGTGCCTCTTGAAAATATGTGTATAGAAAATGGTTTGGAACTAAATAATTATCAGTAAGGTTGTAATTTTTCTTGAGGGATCAAGTTGCTTGTATCATGTGGTAGGTTGAAGGACCTATAATCATTAAGAACCATAAGAATAAATAACCATTTATTCTTCTCAGGAACATATCTTCAAAGAACTTTTATTTTTGTGAATAATACTACTAATAATGGTTTCTCTTATTTCTAAAGTTGTTCACACTTCATTTTTTTCCCCTGATCAATTGTTTTCATCTAACTTGATCACTGAAATTCAAGTTACATTGTCAGGCTTAGTTAAGAACATCCATACTTTCTCAGATTTGAAAGAGTATTAAGTTGTGAAAAGATTCTGACCAAATAACAAAAATTTTGAGCTAATCATTTTTATTAAAGTGAATATAGTAGATTTATTCACATGAAACAAGTTTTAAAATTTTCATTAAAATGCTTTTTTTCTTGTGAATTTATAAATATAAATTTAGTTCAAAGGACAGTAAAATTGATGTGCCTGCACCGTTTTTACTTTGGCTTAAAGACGTTAACGGCATCTTAGAAACCCCTGTGTGTGTGTGTCTCTTTTCTCTCAAGAATAAGTCACCACCAGGAAATTGGCTTGCTTTCCTTTATAGTTTACCATTTTTATAAGTATTTCTATAGAATATGTTTATTTTTGCTTGTTTTTAAACTTCACGTAAATGAAATCGTACTATATATTTCTGTGACTTCTTTTCCAGTATTTTTCTTTGAGATTTTCTATGTTGATGGAGTGACTGAACCACAGTTTACTTATTCATCTTCATTAAGTGTAGATGTATTTCCAGGTTTTCATGATAATGGGGAATGTTGAATAATACATGTCTTCCAGTTCCCGAATGAGAGTTTCTCCAGATGCTGTTATGTATCTGGGATGGAACCTCTGGGTTGCAGGACATGCACACGTTCAAGTGAAACGTAGACGGCGGACTTCAGTAAAGTGGTTGTATTAGTTACATTCTCAGTGGCAGTTGACAAGATATTCTTGCCAACACCTGGTGTTATTGACTTTAAAATTTTTGCTAATTATATGGGTGCGAAGTTGTATGTCACTGTGGTTTTAGGTGCATTTCTGCGATTGCTGGAGAGTTTGGGTATCGTTTGCCCTGTGAATGGGCCATTTGTGTCGTCTTCTCTATGAAGGCCTGTCTTGCCTTCCAGCGAATGCCACCCACCATGCTTTGCGCAGTGTGGACTCCTGCTGCGAGTGTGGAAGAATTGTTAATTTGTTTGGCAGGGATTGCTGAAGCCCTCTCTGGTGCCGTGAAGCTTGCTTTTACCTCTTGGACTTTTGTATTAAAATATATAGCTAGCATTGAGAGTTAGAGTACACAGAATGTTTAACATGACAATAAACTCATCTCACTTGTTATTTTGCATTATTTCATGTTATTTGGTGTTTAAAGATATTTTCTTCTCTAAAATGTAATTCATATATAAGAAATGAAGGAAATATGTTGTATTATGGTAATTATAAATTCATCCTCAATATAGTTTAAAATTATCAAATACTGTGGCTTTATTCTTAATCATAACTTGAATTCTTATTGTTTAAGAAGTACCATTATTTATGTTGATTGGCATCACACTTCATTAAGAAAGTAATTGGTGTTGCTTTTTGTTTCAGCTAAACCATTTACTTCTAAAGTGAAACAGATGCGGTTACATAGAGAAGACTTTGAAATATTAAAGGTGATTGGCCGAGGAGCTTTTGGAGAGGTAAGAGACAGAGAGTTAATAGAAGGTCTGCCAATTGTTTTGAAAGCTATTTTATACAGCCTGAAAAAAATTTAACTGAAATATTATTTACTTCCTGATGTAATTGATATGATCGATCAGAAGATATATTAAAATTCTGAATGAAATACTTCTACATGGAATTTCTTCCCCCCAGACAGTTCTGCCCTTCCCGTGTCATTGTAAGTTTGAACTGTGTCTGCACTCTCTTCTGTTTCGTTGGTCTGTCCGTCTCTCTTTGTACCAGTATGACACTGTCTGAAATTACTCCACTTCAAGTCTTGATATCTGGTAGTATATGTACTGCAGCTTCTTCCCTCTCTTAGTCGTGGGCCCTTTATGTTCTCGTTTAATTTTAGAAACAGTGTTTCAGTTTCGACTTATCCTTACAAACCCACACTCTCCCACCCACACATCTGTTGGAATTTTGGCCAGGACTACACCGAAACTAGAATCAGTTTGTAGGTCATCGACATCTTAACGATATCGAGTCAGCCAATTTATGCCCGTGGTATTTTCTCCATTTATTTAGGGCTTTATAAATTTATCTCACTGATGTTTTATAGTTTGTGTTTAGTAGAGAGGACTTCTGTATCTTCCAGCAGACTTAGTCTTAGGTATGCACTATTCTTTGTTATTTTAATTGAATAGCAGAAATAATTAAAATGTCATATTTTTTGTTTTGCTCAAAATACAATGTAATTTTTAAATTTGATTTATAATGTTTTTTGATCTTTAGAAGTTTATTGCTCAATTTCTAAATATTTGGAGGGCTTTCTACTTCTGTCTGTTCCTGAGTTACGATTCTAGAACAGTCAGAGAACGTAAACTGTGATTTCAGTCCTTTGAAATTGGCTGTGCAGTAGTCTATAAATATCATTTAGGTCAGGTTCATTCATCTTGTTTAAATCTTCTACATTCTTACCTTTTGTTTTCTCTGCTTGATCTGTCATTTCCTAAGAAAGGATTTATTTATTTTTTTATTCTCATTTTTCGGTTTCACTGATTACAAATACAGAGTTATTATATCTTTCTCTTTCATCATAATGGAATGATCCTTGTTCTCTCTAAATAATGTTTTCCAGTGAAATCTTTCTTAATCTGATGTTAGGAGAATGATTTGAGCTCTGTTTGCATTAGTGTTCGCATCCTTTCAGCCTCAGCTTTCTATGCCCTTACGGTCACTGGTCCGTAGACTACAGTTAGTGTTGCTCGTGTTTAGGTTGGGGAAGTTTTCCTTCTACTCCTGTTCTGTTGGGGGTTTTTATTATGCATGTGAGGTAACTTTATCGAAAGCTTTTTCTAGATCTGTTTTGATGATATGATTCAGTGTCTCTGTTAATGTGAGACTCACACCAGTTTTTAACGTGAGATTCGCACTAACTTTGAAGTGTACCAATATTGCATCATTGTACAGGTCTCACTGTGATACATCGTTTAAAAATGTAGCTGGGCTTGATATGTCGTTTTGTTACTATTGTTTTGGTTATGTGTGAGAGCAAGACTGGTCTTTAATTGACCTATCTTCTAATTTCTTCATACTTGTGACTGCTATGCTGAGCCTGTAGACAATTTGGGAAGTGTTCCTGCTTTCTTCATTTTCTGTAAGAATTTGTGTGAGGCTGGTATTCTTTCTTTCTTTAAATGCCTGGAACATTTCACCAGTGAAGCTGTCTACACTAGGAGCACAAAGTTTTTTTATTTGTTTACATCTTTTGAGTTAAATTTTACACATGTTGAAACACACTAATTGTGTATGTACAGTCCAGTGAGTTTTGAGAAATGAATTCACCTTTACCAAGACAGAGAACGTTTACATCATCCTAGGAAGTCTCCTTTCCCGGGCAGTTCCACATGATTTCCACCGAGTGGACACTGTTAGAAACTCATATGAATGGAATTATACTGTATACTCTTGTGTCCGGCTCTTTTCACTCAGAACACTGTGTGTAAGATTCATCCTTGCGAGTGAATGTGTTAGTGCTTTTTATTGCTGAGCAGTATATTATTTCATCAATATATAACAATTTATTTTTTCTGTTGATGAATATCTGGGTTGTTTCTGCCTTTTTTGGCTATTAGGAATAACACTGATGTGAATATTCTTGTAAGCATTTTTATGGAAATTGTCTCCATTTTTCTTGGCTGAATACATAGGGATGAAGCTGCTGTGTTAAATGGAAGGTCATGTTTAAATTTAAAAGGGACGGGTAGACCTTCTGCAGCGGGGCTGTACCATTTTACTTCCCACCGGTGCCACGCCCTCACCAGTACTTCCTGTTGTAATTTTAGCTGTTCTAGTGGGTGTGTGATAGAATCTCACAGTCTTAAGTTGCATTGTCTTTTAAATTTATATGTATAGCAACATAATGATTCACCATTCTTGTATATTCCTTTGTGAGGTATATGTTCAGAAATTTTGCTGATTTTAAAAAATTGGTCTATTTTTTATTATTAAGTTGTAAGAGGTTTTTATATTTATAAATGTCCTTTGTCAGATATGTTTTGTTCATATTTTCTCACAATCTATGTGGCTTGCCTGTTAATTTTCTTGAAAATGTCTTGACAACCACAAGTTTTCAATTTTCAGGGTATCATTTTATAAAATATTTCTCTCTTACGTTTATTATTACCCCCCCCCCCAAGAAGTCCTTCTTTATATTCAGGTCACAGGGGTATCCATCTGTTTATTTTTATTTTCTAAAAGATTTTATTTATTTTTAGAGAGAGAGATAGGGAGGGTGAGAGAAACATCAATAGGTTGCTTCTCAAACATGCCCCAAACCAGGGATTGAACCCGCAACCCAGGCATGCACTTGACCAGGAATCGAACTGCTGACATTTAGCTTTTCCAGGAAGATGCCCAACTAACTGAGCCATATGGGTTGGGGTTCACCTATTTTTTTTAAAGCTTTATAGTTTTAGCTGTTATGTTCAGGTTGGTGATCCATTGCAAATTCATTTATGATGTGAAATGGGGATTGAGGTTCATTTTTAAAAATAGTGTGGATGTCCATTGTTTCAGGGGTATTTGTTGAAAAGGCCATTTTCCATCTATTGAGTTACGTTAGCATCTTTGTCCAAAAAAAAAGACCAGTTGACTCTGAGAGTGTTGAGCTATTCCAAAGCTGAGAGTCAGTGATGAAGTGTGAGCACAAGTCCTCCTGTGTTCTTTTCAGATTGCTTTAGCCATTCTAGGACTTTGGCATTATTGTGTAAGTTTCAGAATTAGTGTGTCAGTTTCTGTAAAAGCCTGTTAGTATTGAAATTGAATTGAATTCATCAGTCAGTTTTGGGAGGTCTGACAGCTTAGTAATGTTGACTGTACTTGTTAGTCCATGATGTTTGTCTTTGTTTTTTAAGGTCTGTTTTAACTTTTCTTAAGATTGTCTTATTATTTTAGTGTACAGGTCTTGTTCACATTTTGTTAAATTTATTTTTAAGTACTTTATTTTTTATGCTGTGGTAAATGATACTTAAAACAGTTTTGTATTCATACTGTATGCTGCTGATACGTAGATACAGCACTGATTTCTGTATCTGACTTTATGTCCTAAGTTTATTATGAGTGGTTTTATGTTGTTTTGGGGGCTTTGTTTTTCTAAGTAAAACGTTGTATTGTTTGAGAATAGGGACAGTTTGGTTTTTTCTCACTGCTCAGACTTTGTACCGTTTATTTCTTTATCCTATTGTACTGGTTCGGACCTCTGATACGGTGTGGAATAGGTGTCATAAGGGTAGACATCCTTCCCTTATTCTTGAACTTTGAAAGAAAGGATTTAAAGTTTCACTGTTAAGTATATTATTGATTGAAGAAATTGTCTTCTGTTACTACTTCGCTGAGAATTTAAAACAATTAACAGGTACTGAATTTTTGTTACATGTTTTTTCTGCATCTCTTGAAATAATACTTTTTACTCTTTTATTCTGTTACTAGGTGGGTGGCCTTGATTGAACTTTTTAAACACTTTCTTTCCCTTTCCCCTCCCCTCCCCTCCCCTCCCCTCCCCTCCCCTCCCCTCCCCTCCCCTCCCCTCCCCTCCCCTCCCCTCCCTCCCCTCCCCTCCCCTCCCCTCCCTCCCCTCCCCTCCCCTCCCCTCCCCTCCCCTCCCTCCCCTCCCTCCCCTCCCCTCCCCTCCCCTCCCCTCCCCTCCCCTCCCCTCCCCTCCCCTCCCCTCCCCTCCCCTCCCCCCACCCTAGTGAGCATTTCATGAACTTCCCTCCATGTGGCTTTAAGCTACCAGGACATAGGCCCCCAGCAGCGCCCTTAATTTTCTCGCTCAGCTCTTCTGCTGGAGACTTTGACCTTCACCATGACAGGACGCTTTAGGAGCGCTCTCTCCCCAGCACTTTGTGGGTGCCACATCAGTGCTGGGAGCAGCCTTCTTCTCGTCTCTGCTCCCTGACCCAGGGCCACAGTTTATTGAGGTTGACAGTGGGGCAGAAGCTCTGGTTCCTCTTTGAGTGGTGATGCTGCCTCACACCGCCCTTCCCAAAGTGACCTGGGGGTACTTGTTGACATTGGTCCAAGGAATGTGACGGGTTCGAGCCACCAGCATTCCTGGGCCTTCAGGGGGCTTCCTGTGCGTGGCCATGGCCAGTGGCTCATGTCCCACCAAAGCTCCTGGTCTTCCTCAGTCTGGGTGGTGCATCATATCGGTGGCTGAGGTTCAAGAGCAGTCGACTTTATTTTTTAAGGCAGTTTTAGGCTCATAGCAAAATTGATCAGAAAGTACGGAGTTCCCATATACTTCTTACCCTTGCGTGTGGCCATTCTAGCAGGTGTGTAGTGGTATTTCATGGGTGGTTTAAGTCGCAGTTTTCTAATGGTTGGCGATACTGAGAATCTTTTCTGATGCTATTTGCCGTCTGTAAGTCTTCATTGATGAGGTGTCTGTTAAGATCTTTGGTTCATTTTTTAAAGGGGTTTGCTTTCCAGTTGAGTTTTAAGAGTTCTTTGTTTATTTTGGATAACAGTCCTT